ATCACTACGTGAAAATGCATCATAAAATTCAAGATTAATAATCAATGACGCTGAAATTCTTTAAAAAATGCAGAAGTGTCTGACGACGAGGGGACTCGAACCTGCATAAACAACCTGACAAACCGTACACTTATTCACACCGTCATTTCGATGACAAAACTTTGGTTCACTTTGATAAAGGTGGTACCACAACTTGGAATTTTTAAACGCTCGTAAATTATTCCTGAAAACCACTTCGCAGATATGGAAGTCAAAGTTTAAATCCGAGCCCAAACTCCTAGCAGCAAACTCTTTCTGAATCGCCACTTGACAAAGAATCCTTTCTTGTAAGTTAGAACCTCGCCTTAGGAGTGGAAAAAAGCAATGCATATCAAAACAGTGAATTATTTATGTGGCTCACTCACCTGCCTGACTGGCTTGAAAATGTGGATGCGGTGGCATAGGGACTGGTGGTGGGATACTTCCAGTCATGCCAGAAGCAAGGGAGGCAGCTGATGTTCGCCTTGACAACATTACTTTCGAAGGATGAATCAAAGCATTGGGCAGAACTGCTGGGACAGGTTCGTTCTGGAGAGCTCTGAGAACAAAGGCAATAGAACTTCCAAAGGAGCACTCGCAAAAGACTCACTTATATACGAGATGCATAGCAACACTCATCTCGATTCGATCCAGCTGGCCATCTTTATCCTGATCGGCTAGTTCCCAAATTTTAGCCAGAATAGTAGGATTTAAACCAGAGTTCAGTAACACTGGCCTCACTTTTGTACCAGGTAACTTTCCATCAACAGGCGATAACGAATCAAAAATTGAGTCATATTTGACCTAAACTATCAAATTTGAAGGATTTTTTAAACCGAGGGAATAAGTGAAAAAGTGACCATAGGTCTACCGGATAAAATGTTGTTTGAAAAAAAGTTCACCTGGTCAGCAGCATTTATGCACCACTCACTATGTATACCAGAAGGAGTAGCGTCAATCGATGAGCGTTGACTTATAGGTGCTCTCGCAGCGTCAATTGATGGACGTTGACTCATTGGCGCTCTCAAGATAATTCCCTCGAAATGTGGTGGATTCAGGCCACTCGCTGTGACTGATAATGGTGAAATAGCAAGACCTAGAAGTGAAATCAATAAAGGTTACGATAGAAGAGAAAATGCATATACTTTCCACCAACCCTGTTGAGCAGCTGCTACAAGCTTGAATGCTATAAAAAATCCCTTTTTATCGAGAGCACCCTTCCTTTGATAATCAGCGAGTTCCCAAATCTGTATGCGAAAAAAAGGTTTGTAGGTATGATCGACCAATTTCAAGCAATACCTGTCCTAACTGCTGCATATTCAGATTGGAACGTTTCAAAAACGCCGCAGC